CAATATAAAAGATTCTAAAATAGCTACTAAAGAATCATGGAATTAAAACCAAGAAAGAGACAATTATTGCTTTTACAAGAATTGAATTGATTTTTTTTTATTGTTTACTTTTTTCAATTGTTTTATTTTTTAATTGATTGAGTTTTTCTTCACTTAAATAGAGTGGTTTAATTAAAACCAATAAATATTGTTTAAATGTTAATATTTGTTAATAATTCAAAAAGGTTATTAGAATAGTTTATTTTTAACTATTGATAATATCTTTTAAAATGTTTATCTATTAAATAACGTTTTATATTTAGTTTATATTTTTTTCGGTTATTGTTTACCATAATTATTTAGACTAGGATAATCAAGATTAGTGGGAGCATGACATGACCCTTACATTAATTAAAAACAATTATTTAATTCAATTAAAGGTTTTTACATTTAGAAAATAAAATTGAAATACATTTTTGAGGAAGAATATCATTTTTTGCCTTTAATAGAAAAAATTCACTGAGACATAAAAAAAATTGCAGGTTGTCAATTGGAAAATTCTAATTTATATCCATATATAAAGAAATCTATATTGACATTTATTAAGAAAATTCTTAAAAATATAAATAAAGAAAACATGTTTATAACAATAAAAATGCCAAGTGCACATAAACTAAAAAATAATTCTTCCAATGTTGGTCCAGAAAATTATAACTAATTGAAAAATGATTCTGGATTTAGAAAAACTTATGTCAAATGAAAATAACTTCAATTCTCATAAGTTGATTTTTTCTTATCAACTTAAAAACACGAATAATTTTAACAAAAAAAAAAAAATGGTTAATGTTAAATGAGAAATGGCTCTGACATCAACTATCAAATAATTTTGATAATGTCGACCAAAAAGTAAAATATTATTTCATAAAAAGTAACATTGAAATTATAATAGTTAAACTTCAACCAAATCAACAATATCTCAATTCTAATAATATGACAGCCCTTTCATCAAAATCTCAATGAGTTTGAAAAAAATATATATGAAAATTTGAAAATATAAATATTTTCGTATCCTTATTATTTTTAAGTAAATTTTTAAAATTTCTAATTAAAAAAACTAATTATTCTTATCAAATTCTAAATTTTTAACTTCCTTTATATTATTTTACCTAAATTGCATATTTGGGTATAAAATATTTCAATTTTTTTAATATTAATTATCTTATTAGACTTCTCATTCCATGTAAAATTATCTATCTAAATAGACTAATAATTTAAAGGATAGATTGAAATGTGTTACTTGTCAGTTAAAAATTATAGTTTTATACTAAAAAAATAAAGAGATTGAACTATAGTATTTACTAATTAAAAAAACTATATTTTTATATTAAAAAGTTGAACTGAACCTTTGCAGGGTATTAAAAGATATCTTTCTAAACTAAAACTATCAACATTTTTTTTTCAGCTTAAGAATTTAAACTAAACTATTCGACCACAATCAAAATTAAGTATTAAAAGACAATACTTATCAGCTTAAGAATTTAGTCCTAATAATGTTAAAGATACTTTAAAAAATATTAATTACACATTTAATACGATTAACTTAATTAATAAACCTTCTTTTTATCGTACCAAAAAAATTAACAAACTTTTGTAGAATATTTTCTCAGATTATATGATGAGTTTATTAAACTTAAGTCACATTGGTTAATTATTTTTCCACTTCAAATAAGTAACGTGAAAGAAACAAAGCTACTACTTGTTATATACTAAAAAAAATCAAGTTTTCAATCGAAAGTATATAACATTGTAAGGACATAAAAAATATATTAGAATTGATAGATGTTTTAAATTAATGAAACTATATTATTTTAATGTTAAAAGTTTGATAATATGAATAAAAATTTATAAATATGTCTCATTGTCTAAAACTAAAACTGTCAAAATAGGTTAGAACCCGCGGATCAACCGGCTCATCATGGGTTCGGGTCAGGTTGGGTTTGAAAAAAATGACATTTTTTTTATACGGGTCTATTTTTAACCCAGTTCACTTAGAACTCGGCTCACCTAGGTTAAACCTGTGGTGAGCCGAGTTGACTCACCAACCCACCTAGTTTAATTTAATTATTTATTATTTTGTGTTTTAATATTATTAGTTAATACTTTTTTTTATTATATTGTAAATGAGAATAAAGAAAAAAATGTTTCAAGAGAGCAAAATATTATTAATTTATCCATTCAAGTCTTTAATCTTACAAAAAGATACATGATACAAAAATTATCAATATTTTAAACTTATTTATTCGTCTTTTTAGGTTTGCTTTTAGATTATATTTGAGTTGTATGTTAATTTTTTATTTTTGAATTCTCTTTAGAGTTTAACATCATTTTAAAGAGAAATTATTTAAATTTGAATTACAAAAAATTGTAATTTTTTTAAGATTAAAAAAACAACTTGTAATTTTTTTAAGATTAATAAAAAAACTTGTAATTAGGGGAGTCATTGAGCCAATCCGTTTATCCCACCAACTGTGGTAGGTCAGGTCGGGTTCAAATTTTGTTGGCTCGCTAATAAATGAGTTGAGTTGAATTGGCTCACTAAGTCACCAACCCATGGTGGGTTGGGTTGGGTTGGGCGTGATGACCCATTTTCACAACACTATTTAAAACACGTCTTATTTCTTTAGAATTCTTTCTCTATATTTTCTCCTTCTCTTTAAGTTTTCTAACTCCTGAGTGATCTCTTTGACGATCAAAAAGTATTTAGGTGATTACAATAATAATATTTTAAACTTCATCTCATCAGTTTTTTAGAAAGAGTAAGTTAGTTTTTACTCTTTTTCTTGAACTGAGATTCTTCCAGGCATGCGATAATATTTTCTGTTGCATGCATATTCCTAGAGTTATTGAGTGTTCTTTGTTGATCATTGGTCCTACTGGTTTACTTTGATCAAAATTCTAGATCAAAATTCTAGATCTATAGGTACAAATAGAATTATTTGAGTTGAGGCAGAGGTAGTTTGCTTTCTAGAACTGTTTGAGCTTTCCAACCAAGTAAGGAAAGTTAATAATTAGTTTAATTTAGTGTTAAGAAGTATGAATGTATGTTAGATAAGTTGTGAGGTTAATGTTTGGTTGAATCTGTTATCAATTGAGATGATTGAATGATGTTGGTGCAATGATGAGTGAACATTGTCTATTGAAGCATAATGATATGTATGATTGGGAATTAGTACTTGCTTGCACCTTTAATGTTTTTGTTTGAAGTTTAACGAGGTACAAAATTGTAGAATTTAAAGTAGTAAAAAAGGAATGTGGTATGCTAGTTTTGGTCTTAAGAGAGGGGTTTTGATAGGTAAAACTTTGAATGAATGGTTGGATGAGTAAATCTAATGCTTAGTGTTTGTTGTTGGACCATTTAAGACTTGTTTAGCTAATTAGTTCACTGAAATCTAGTTGGTATCAAATGGTTTAGATGCACTTTTAATATATGTATGTTTAAAAGGCTATATAGATTTTGTAATAGAGTTATTAATGTCTTGCAAATGGAAATGATAAAAGTGTATTCGGTTTAATTATGTAGTGAAGGGGATTCCATGAGGAAAACCTTTGTGTTGTGTTTCTGTTATGTATTATTGTAGGAACTTTGAAATAGAGGAATGTCCGACTCTAATGACTATCCAATCTCAAGTAGAAACAAGTGGTTATGTTGTGAAGAGTAGAAGAAAATCTTTTGCCTCAAGTCAGTTTGACTATGGGTGTTTGACAGACTAACTTTGTATGGTAGTTTGGATGATATGTTGTTTCACCCCATTTGTGCAGGTCCTCCAATAGTTCGACACTAATACATATATCTAAATAGTCAAGTCTAGAGTTTATATATATATAAACTCTAGATATTGAAATTATGATGTTTATGATTTGAATTAATGATATGTTTGATTCTTTTAAAATTACTTACCTTGTTGTTTATGTTTTGTTTAATCATTCTCCTTGATAAGAATCACTTGGTTGGTAACAAAGGAAGATGTTTTAGTTGAACGGGTGATGGGTGCGAAAAATATTGATATGTAGATAGTTAGAATATTATTAGTTTGAATTATGATATTTTGATGGATCTTTAGTTCATGTTTAATTAATATTTGAAATAAAATATTTTGTATATAAAGTTTAAATTATGATTATATTTTTAGATATCTATAATAATATTTTATATGTTTTTTTAATTATCTAATCATGTTTATTAAATATATGATAATTTGATAATAGTATTAAAATTATAAATTTGGAATGTTACATATATCACTTCAGTTAAGCATTCTCTTTATTAATCTTAGCATTATATTAATATTTTTTGGGTACAATTATTAATTTTATACAACAGTGTGAAATCTACATATTCAAAACAAATAACTCATTTTACAAATATAAAAAAGCAAAGAACTTTCACTATTACTTTTAGGTTCTGATTTCAAAATTCTAAAAAATATAATAAAAATTTTCATACTAATAAAATAATTATGAAATCTCCTAGCTGTATTATTTTGCATTTCTGTATCACAATAAATATAAATATCTAAACTAGTTAAAGTAATGATATAAATGGAAAAAAAAATAACGCTGCTCAACTTTAACGGCGGGCATATGAATAAAATAATCTTGTAAAAATTTGAAATTAAAATTTTTGAAAGTTTTTTATTTTCTTGTCTAAGCACGTGTGTTCTACGAACTGTGAGTAAAGAACTAAAAACAAACGATTTTATTCGAACTTCCTTTGAAATTAGATTGGCAATACCGGTCAACATATATAATTAACATTAATTATTAATCATTAACCATTAATTAATAAAATTCTCAGACTTAATTAAGTGAATATGCCTTGATACGGCAACGTAGCGCAAAGCGCTACGCAATGTCGCAGAACAAGCGGCATTATCCGTACGTATGACACGTGTTGAACCATCATTGGCTATTTCTCGACTCCGTCATGCCCAGGCCGCAGCAGATTCCTCCCCAAGGTCAAAATAAAGTGAAAACCAGGAAGTCTGTGACCAGGTGCTTCGCAGCCGCACGACGCATGATGGTTGAACCACTCATGAGCCACTGATATGAGGCTGCTGCGACTAATGATACCATCACCCGGCTCCACCGTGGGCAAATGAAATGGCGTCGTCACAGCCAATCAAGAGGCGCCATGTCCCACACGCACAGTCACCGGCGGGAGAGTGGCAAAGCTTGCATAACACGATTCTCGTTCTCACTACAAAACCACACTCGCTCTCTTTTTCTTCGTTCTTTCTCCCATTTCCTAAATCCTCCTTAAACCCTAACACTCTCAATCTCAATCTCATGATTAATGGAAGACCGAGCGCAAGATGCACTATTCCCTGGTTGCCGGTTCTACCCGTCCGAAGAGGTTCTACTCGGCTACTACTTAACCAAGAAGAACGAGAACCGGGAGCAGAGGTTCAACGGTTCTGATTTGATCAAGGAACTGAACCTGTACGATCATGACCCCTTTGAATTACCGGACGCTGCTTGCTTCCCGTACGGTTACCGAGGGAGGAAGAAGCATTGGTTCTGTTACACCGTTAAAGAGACCAAAAGCCCAAGCAGAAAGGTCAAAAGCGGGTTCTGGCTCCGGAAGGGAAGGGTTCGAGATATTCGCGATAACGGTGGGATTGGGAACGCTGTTTTAGGCACCAGGTCCCGTTTCGTTTTCTACGTTGGGAATTCGCTGAAAAAAGCTTCCAGAACGGATTGGATTTTGTACGAGTACGCATTGGTTGACCAAATTCTGGTACGGTTTCACGATTAATTCAAATCACACCATTTCTTGAAATAGTTAGTTTGCTTTTGGAAGAGCAATTGAAAACTGATTTTAATGCAATTAGATTTATTTTAGCTGATTTTATTCTTGCATTTACNGCAGAAAGGTCAAAAGCGGGTTCTGGCTCCGGAAGGGAAGGGTTCGAGATATTCGCGATAACGGTGGGATTGGGAACGCTGTTTTAGGCACCAGGTCCCGTTTCGTTTTCTACGTTGGGAATTCGCTGAAAAAAGCTACCAGAACGGATTGGATTTTGTACGAGTACGCATTGGTTGACCAAATTCTGGTACGGTTTCACGATTAATTCAAATCACACCATTTCTTGAAATAGTTAGTTTGCTTTTGGAAGAGCAATTGAAAACTGATTTTAATGCAATTAGATTTATTTTAGCTGATTTTATTCTTGCATTTACTTAAAAATAAATCTAGTATTGGAAGTTACTTAAATTATTTTAGCTGTATAAATTAGAACATGTAACAAATTTCTTAATTTAACAAGTTAAATCAAGTTATGTCAGGAGATAAAATACCACCTTACTGAACAACACTCTGCGCTCATCTTGATAATTAGAGAAAAGCAAGAACAGCGGATGCTCAGTAGAGCTCTTCAAAAAGAAGAGCTCTGATACCATCTCAACGTTTCTTGATTGTGTCTGCATGGTCTTGGCACACTCCATATGCATGGTGTTGTTCGCTTCAGTGTAAACAATAGGAGACATAAAGGAAAGAAACAGAACAGAGAAAACCAAGAGCATGAAAGGGAAAAACATGTATTATTGAACTGAAAAGAGAGTATTGTCTTAACGTACGAAAGGGGAGGAAAAGGGATATCTATATCTATATATATATATAGGAGAGTGTTGTCTGATTGATTGATTATACTGATACTTCAACGTGATTGTGATCATCTAAGGTGAGTCCAAACAAGCCATTGATTAATGTAACGAATTTGATTTTTGCGTGTGCAGTCTTCGTTTGTGCTTTGTCGTGTGGTGAATAAGCCTCATCATAAGAATAGTCCATCTGAAATTGGTCGCAGTTGTTGTGCTGAAGAGAGTGCAGCTGTGGTGGTGCGACACATCGGTGTTCAACATGATGGATGTGTTGGAGGTGATGACGTTTGTGATGATGGATTTGTTAATAGAGAGATTGAGGCCGCTGAGAATCCAATTAGGCGTGGTGGTGAACAAGATCATGCTGCAACTGTTTCAGTTGCTCAGGGAAGTCAGCCGGTGAGAAATTAACACTGATTTGTTAAATAATACCTTAGTAAGAAATTATTGTTTTTGCTTATTTATGCTTCATTTTTGTTACCATGCATCTAAGAAAGTAAATTTAGTGGCTTATGAGGTGAGGTTTGACTTATATACTATAATTTGATAATATGTGAGATTTTCAACATATTCTTTCATGTCCAGAACTAAGTATGGGACTAGATATTTGTTGGTGACAGATAGTGTTCTCATAGCGAGTGACATGATAGTTCTCAACAAACTTTGCTAAAGTAGACTTTAATACAATCTTAGAAAGTGCATTTAAGTGTACTTCAACTTTCCAAACTGACTTATAAGATAAGGTTTGGATCCATTTATATAGTATAAGTTTTTTCTTTTTTTAGTTGATGTAGGATCTCCAGTAATGCAACACTGTGTATGACTTACTACTAGGAAGGCTTTTTGTGTTGGTAGTTTTTGTTTGTAGATCTAGATAGTTTCACTGGATTCCTTCGAATTATTTTTGTTTCGTCGGAGTTGTCAGTCGCGAACATCAGCAGTTGCCTGAAAAGTGCAGTCAGAATTAGGGCTATTATCTTAGGGAGTCACTCAAAAAATTTGTTGCAACTACTATTTTTAAAAGAAAAACTGAAAATTTTCAACTCATTCATGTGATGGTTCTTTTCAGATGGCATTTGCATCCATATTTTACTATTAATAGAACTTTTTCTATTAGAGGTAACATCTTAAGTTTTTAATTTTTGTCACAGCATGTCGCTAAAACTACAAATAGGTCACTATGCTCTTGGATATTCGAAATACATACGTGTATTTTGTTTCATTTATGTCTTCGTAAAAGTTGAGCTGTCTACTCTTCTANGAGATTGAGGCCGCTGAGAATCCAATTAGGCGTGGTGGTGAACAAGATCATGCTGCAACTGTTTCAGTTGCTCAGGGAAGTCAGCCGGTGAGAAATTAACACTGATTTGTTAAATAATACCTTAGTAAGAAATTATTGTTTTTGCTTATTTATGCTTCATTTTTGTTACCATGCATCTAAGAAAGTAAATTTAGTGGCTTATGAGGTGAGGTTTGACTTATATACTATAATTTGATAATATGTGAGATTTTCAACATATTCTTTCATGTCCAGAACTAAGTATGGGACTAGATATTTGTGGGTGACAGATAGTGTTCTCATAGCGAGTGACATGATAGTTCTCAACAAACTTTGCTAAAGTAGACTTTAATACAATCTTAGAAAGTGCATTTAAGTGTACTTCAACTTTCCAAACTGACTTATAAGATAAGGTTTGGATCCATTTATATAGTATAAGTTTTTTCTTTTTTTAGTTGATGTAGGATCTCCAGTAATGCAACACTGTGTATGACTTACTACTAGGAAGGCTTTTTGTGTTGGTAGTTTTTGTTTGTAGATCTAGATAGTTTCACTGGATTCCTTCGAATTATTTTTGTTTCGTCGGAGTTGTCAGTCGCGAACATCAGCAGTTGCCTGAAAAGTGCAGTCAGAATTAGGGCTATTATCTTAGGGAGTCACTCAAAAAATTTGTTGCAACTACTATTTTTAAAAGAAAAACTGAAAATTTTCAACTCATTCATGTGATGGTTCTTTTCAGATGGCATTTGCATCCATATTTTACTATTAATAGAACTTTTTCTATTAGAGGTAACATCTTAAGTTTTTAATTTTTGTCACAGCATGTCGCTAAAACTACAAATAGGTCACTATGCTCTTGGATATTCGAAATACATACGTGTATTTTGTTTCATTTATGTCTTCGTAAAAGTTGAGCTGTCTACTCTTCTAAAGGTGGAGAACACATGTAATGATGGTTAACAAAAAGCTCTGCATGTGTCAATTGATAGTTACGCTATTACTTTAAACTTGTCCTATTTTTTTATTCATTCGTTCAATTTTAGCATATTCTCCCTTGTACCTTTTCTTTTTATTTATAGTGGAGAATTTTGTTTTTCAAATTATTAAATTCTTTTGGTTGCTGCTGTGGTAATCAGGTTCAGGAAAGGCTTTCTGGACTTCCCTGTGACGGTGCATTGTACATTGAAGCTGTGATACCTCAGCAACACATGCTTTCCATTCTAGAGGAGGATTTCATAGAATTGAATGATATTGTATGAATTGGTTGGTTGTAAGAGATAATGTGAATTCTAATCCAGCTATCAGGAGTATTTGTCACCTGAAACAATTGTATTCAGAATGGATAACTGCCTCAGCTAAAGGAGAGAGATTTATAATATTGAGTAGCTGTTGTTCCACTCAAATGAAGATACATACCGTCAGATGGGTTGGGACGAATGTCATGGATTATGATCTCTTCGCATGTTAAGGTAGTTACTTTAGATCTTTGTATGTTAAACTCTTGAGCCCTACTTGAGGAAATATTCAGCGGATCTTCTTTGTTTTGGGCATGCAGATTTTTTTCCTCTGCCTACTGAATGGCAATTGGCTCCAGAGCGATAGAGTTAGAGTTAGATATTGGTATTGGTAATTGGAATATGCAATTTACACTAATATGCCATGAGCAACTTCACCGTACTTCATGCTTTCATTCCTTGAATGAACGACCTGTTCATATTTAAATTATATTTCATTCCTGGGACCATCAGAATTTACTATCTACACCTTAGTAGCAGGGCCTATTCGTATCTGTCTGTGGTACTTTATTTTTCCTATCTTGTTCAAGAGGTAAATCGGATGAACTCCAAATTGTAAGTGTTACAGCATAACCATAGTTATATGATTTGCCTTAACCTTCTATTTACTTCTGTGTTTAAGCTGACTAATTTTATGATTTTCAGGGTCTTTATGTCTTGATAAATTTCTCTATAAAGACTCAGAGGAGAAAAAACATAAGAAGTAAAATAAGCTTTTCTATAAAGCTAAAAGTAGTTTATTCATTAATTGAAAAAACAGCTATTATAGAAGTTAATATGAGAAAAGTTTTATAAATTAGCTTCTATATTAGCCAATTTTAGCTTACGAAGAAACCTATTTCATTTTTTTTTCTTCTTTTGTAAGTGTTTGTAGAGACTTTATTCAAATTGGTACTATGCAATCTGGTACTATGCCATATATATCGTGGTTTTTGTCAACTGGATCTGTGTAGTTTCTGTATATAACAATGCTGCTTGTGCCTTTTTGTGTGGGTATGCCACTAGTGGTATCAATTTATGTTTGTCTATTTGGGGGAGGATTTGCTCTTGTTTACTGCATTTTCATGTGTATTTTATGTGACAGGTTTCATTTCATCGCTACTTGTGTGGTATAACTTCTGTTTTGAAATCCAGTTGTATTGTATTCCCTTCTTTTGGCTAAAAGTTTGAGCTTGGCACTTAAAAGGCATTTGAATCGGTTTAAATTGTACTTGATTGCTATGTGATAGGAAAAAGTTCCAAAAACTAGGAATCAATGATCATTTATCTATTGAATGTTGTTTTCTGCTTTGTCTATGACATTATTGTGTGCTAGATCAATGCACGTTCAGTGAATTTAATATGGTCCCCGTTAAAAATCATGACTCTTTTTAGTGGGTCTGACATAAAATTTATCCAATAGTAAAGAAGACTCTATATTGTAAATGTAAAGAGTGTGCTGTTCGCAGCATCGATATAGGAACAGTGTAGTTTGTATTTGTTGTGTTTTATGTGCATTTAATATACTGACATTTGGAAGTTCATAGTAGTTTGTTTGTGATCTGCTGTGTGATATGCTTTAACTTCAAGTCTCATACAAAGATTTCAGAAAGTTCATGGTTCCTGAGACCCGTTTCTCCGTAAATATGATGTTATTTAAACATCTAAACATATATATCTTTGAGCTTCAGTAAAGATGTCAAAAAAATTGGGCATACTTTGAATGTTGGACCAAAGAATTATATTTTTGCAGCAGTTATTCTTTCTTTTACCCAAAGCATGGGCGTTGCGTGCGCCTGCCAAGTTTGGCACCACCTATGCAGAAATAACTTTTTTTGGGTGGGTCGACTCAGTTCCAAAAAAAATATCATTGTTTGAACAGATTGATGAGCTTATTTCGTGAATACTGCCAATGATAGCCTGATCCGTGACCCAGTGGATCAGTTCTAGTATTTTACTTGTGCATGAGTTGAAATGCAAGGTTGTGTAGGGTTGTATTGTAGTACCCCTTCCCCCAAAACAAAAAATAATAATTTTCGTACAAGAACGCACTAGGAAAAGCTTATATAGATTGCCTGAAATTTTTGGTTAGAAATTCAATTGCTTTTATCCCATGCTTAGGAGTGATTAAAGTAACATATATTTGTTTATTTAGCTTGAGTCGCGTCTTGTTTGTGTTTCCCAAGAAAGCCAACAAATAAGGGTGGTTGCCTTGTATTTTCAGGTACTTACTTAAACCCGTCTTGTAGTTTTAGTCAAGAAAATTAGCTGGCCTCCCAACTCAATTTTTGGGATCATCCTCCCATGTCATTTTCCTCCTACTTCAGATGTTGTTTCGAGGCAATGCCGTTTGATGTTAAAATTATCAACTATAATCAGTCGCAATTTACAAAAGTTGTTGTAAAAATAAGAATAAAAAAAGCATATTTAAAAGTAGGGTCTTCAATTTTTTTCTTAGAATAATATTTTTTAATATATTTAATTAGTCTTATTATAATTTTTTTTTTAAAAAAGGACAGGTAAAGGGGTGCCTCTTTCCCTAATCTAACTTCTTTTAACAAAATAAAAATAAAAATGGAAAACTTTAAAGTTATGTCAAGTCTTAAAGACTTGGAGCAAATAAGTTAGTCTTTAGCCTTTATCTCAAAAATTAGGTTAGACTCGTATGTTGCATGGTGATGTTTGTTTAGGGTCAATTCCACTTTATAATACACATTTCACACATTTAAATCCTTGTGTCTGTGGGTTTAAATAGTCGAGCTAAGTTAAATTTAGTATATTCTAATACATATTTTAATAAAACGTGATTCAGTTAGATATTTCATTTTTTTAATGAGCACTCACAGTCAACCTTGATTAGCTTAGTCAGAAATAGCTTATCACAATGATTCACCCTTCGTTTATCTGTCTCATTTTTCCTCTCTTACAACAATTATTTACGATTGTCTTGCAAGGGTTGAAAAACTATTTTTGTCCAAAAATTATTTTCAAAGTATAATTTGACCTTTAACCGTGGAAAGGTATTTTGGTATTTTAGAATAAATTAACCACTATTTTATGAATTATTTTTAGCATATGAGCTCTAATTACAGTAAGGTAACGATTTCAATTAAAAGGTAGTAGTAAAAGTATTACAACGAAGTTGATAATATTCTGGTGGTTAAAAAATTTATATTATGGTCAATATAAATGAAATACTATTTAAATAGCATATAGGACGTACATTGTTGGGTGTAGTGGTTGTAAGTGGTTCAAAAGTTTTATAGTATAATGTTAAATATTTTTAACAAAATTTGGTACAATAATGGCAGAAGTGTAATTTGTGAACGCATACAGATTAACCTAATAATCTTTTTCGTCAAAACGTTGGAATAATATATATATATTATAAAAATTATTAAATACCAATTAATTTTAAAGACAAAAAATAATTAATTATTATAATAATTAATTTAGATATCAATTTATAAATTGAAAATTAATATATTTTGTTTCTTATTTACATTTGTGGTGTTGGTGTTAATGGATAACAGAGTCCGTTTGGTTGACCCTTGAATTAATGTTTAATAATATTTTTTTTATGTAGTATGATTTTCATCTCTCAAAAATTTTGGTTTAAGTTTGGTTTACAAAATTCAAAATGTATTAAAAATTCACATTGTATATGATTTTTTTTTATAAAACTTATAATTTTAATTATACTTTCTGTAAAACAAAATAACCTGTTTTAATCCATATAAAATTTAAAGTTTGATTTTTAATATAATATTAATTTATTTTTAATATAAATGATTTTAACACTCTAACAAACTACATTGCATAATAGTTTAAATTTTCAACAATTTAAGAAATGATCTAAAAAATATTTAGGAGTAAAAGTGGATTCGTAAGGGAAATTTGAATAGTTTATCATCAAAATGTTGAATTTGTAAATATAAAATTCAATTATTTGAGTTTTATTTTATAGGCATCATTATTTATTTAAAATTGTTTTATTTTCTTTATCTAATTTCTCTCTAGGTTTATAAACAATTTGTTCATCTCTTTTGAGTATTAGAATCCACCATAAGGATATTGAAGTAGAGTAGAACAATTTTTTTACTAAAATTTTCATAAGTTCATTTTTATCTTTTTGGATGTTTTACATGTATATATTATGAGTTGTATGCATGTGATTTAATAAGACTCAAGATGAATTTCTATTTGTTTAAGATTGTTAGAATGTATTCAAAACATTTATCTGAGTTCTCTATATACAAGTATTGTATCAGGTGAGAGTAGAAGTTCTTGGAACTCTTTTAGAGTCAATAAGCTTTGTTCAGGTAAGAAAATCTAGCTTATTTTCTACTAGTGTTATAAGTTAGATGATTTGTTTCTAAGAGCAATGTGGTTCACAACTAATTTGAGTTGTTTGGAGTGTATTTTTATGACTGTGTTGGTTTGTGAATGCTAAAATGAGATGTTTTTTAATTAAATGTTTTAATTAGATTGAGAAGTAAACTAAGTCAAATATATTATTTTAGTTAATGTGGTTTGGTGAGGATAACATTTTAGAACTAAATGTATATGTTGTATATGAGAAAGTAGTAAAAATATTGAGTTTGAGCCAATATGATAAACTAATGTATTTGTATTTGTGAAACTTTCTAAATTATGCAAACTCATTAGGTGATTTTCATCCACTTGTAGAGTGAACTTTGTGTTTTTAAAATCTAGAGAAGCTCATGTCACGTTACTTATGGGACAATAAGAACTCTTTGGACGAACTTTTTTGATAAAACTCATAGGATTTTGATGGTTAAACGAAATTAGTTTTCTGAAAAACATGAAGAGCTCAATATGTCTTGGTCTCGCGAAGCAAATTTCATTGATACAAATTTCTAGTGCTTGCTTGCCAGGTGAGTCAAATCCTTTACTGAACAAAATTCATTATATATATATATATATATATATATATATATACACACACACGAATGAATTCTTAAACTCAATTTTCACTTTCATTTGGTATTAAACATTATCTACAAATAAACACATAAAAAGTGTGAATAGTAATGAAAAAAATTAAGATATGGCAACATGCAAATATTTAACATTGAAGTTAGTGAATAAGAAAACAAACTAATAACAAGTAAAGTTGTTCTTGTGAGGTTGAGTACATCCTTTGAAGACTCTTCAAACTCCTTCTAACAAAGACTCCTTACTCTTCAAATTGTGATGTTCTAGGTCCATGTCTCTTAAAGACCGATGAGGTGTACCTATAGAAGATACTCTAAGTCAAGTTATTCGGTGTGTCAATAGCATTTATACTATACTAATGAACTTAAATTATTTCCTTGATGGTTGGCTATTTGTAGGATAATTATGACGCTTGTGGGCCCTCACCTATATAGGTCGGTGAGCCTAAGTGTTCCATTTACCTCATTATTAGTTGTTTGATCCAAATTATGCTAATTTGCATAGTAATACGTCATTAGCTTTGTTAGTCTAAAAGGTAGTTAGATAGACCAACTTATGTCCATGTAGTTTGGTCATACATCTTGGTTGTGACCGAGTAGAAACAGTCAGGCATTGTTCTTACAAGGTCGGCTTATGACCAGGTAGAAGTAGTTAGATAGGCCATTTTGCAATCGGGTATAATCAACCAGAGAAGCCAACTTGCGACCGGATGGAATAAGTCAAACTAGCTAGCTTTTGGCAACCACTCAAACAGATCGACTTGTTGCTGGGTGGAATCAGTAAAATAGGTTGGCTTGTGGCTACATGAAATTAGTTAGGCAGTCCAACTCGTGGTTAAGTAGATCTCCATTACCTTCAAGAGGCAACAAATGATACTAGTAGGAGGCACGCAGTCTTCGACAAGCGAAACCTAATTATCAACAAGTGACACTCAGTCCTGGTTCACAACATATATAGTCCTTAGTAAGCAGCATGTGACACTCAGCAAGCAACATGTAACCTTGGACAAGTAGTATTTGGCCCTCGGCATGCAACATATGACTCTCAACAGGCATAGCATAACCGTTGATAGATACACGGAACCCTCACATGTGGCACAGAGAGTGTGTTTTGCACTAAGTTATTCTAAAAAGATATCAACGTTGATAAAATCTAAGGATCAACTATATACAATATAAAAGTAAATTTCTTTAACGATATTATTTAAACTCTTTAATTAATAATATGGTACAATTATAATTAAATTTCACTATTAAAGATTCAGTAAAATATGTTGAACTAGATACCTTATATCATAATTAAGATTTAAAATAATTGTCTAGCCATTGAAAAAATATATATAATTGTTGAAATCTAGTATGCATTTATTTATCGTGTGCATTTTGTCAATAAATTAAAAGACATAAAATACATGTTCTATAAAATAAACATTTTTACTTTAAAATACAAAATATTTTTTAATAAAGATATATATTGTTAATTCCTCAAGTAATCCACATTCTTGATTCATAACCTAAAACATGTCTAACAAAATTTTGTCCAACACACAAAACTATACAAATCACTTTGATTTTATTTGCAGCAAAAGTTTAAAGACAGTATAAAAACGTTAAAATATGGTGCAAAATGTTCAATCTAATTTATCAATAAAGTATAAAATTCTTGACCAAATTAATATAAAATAGAGATTCTATTTAATGAATATATAAGTTTTGTCTATATAAGATCAACTTTTTCATTTTTATTTAGGTAAAATTTATAGTAACACTTTACATATTGAGATGGTTTATTTTTCTCTTACAAGAATATTTATATCTTATACTTCATTACATTCTTTTATAACACCACCTTCTCTATATTAAATTGAAAACACATGTAATATTGTAACATAGTTTTGTATTTTTGAGTATAATGGTATAGGGCCATAAAAGTAATACGTATAGGAGTAGTATGTATATCTAGAATTATGTGGGTGGCTCAACATCTTGAATTCATCACCTAACCCTTTGTCTCAACTTTGATCCTTCTTTTGTTGT